AATTTCTCATTTTTCTGATTGTACTGGTTGCAGAATCACATTGGTCATACAGTCACCTATATACATACAGCAATAATAATGTATAATTAGACACTCTTCATTGTGAAATTTTAAAACAGTGAGGAGAGACATTTCAAAAAGAAAAAAAAAGAATAAAAATTAACCTTTTTCATGCTTCTTATCATCTATTATAGATTCCAGAAGGCATTGGAAAGATACTTCAAAGTTTTAAAGGCAAATAATTTTGCACCTAGGGTTTTGTATGTAACCAAGCTGTCAGTCTTAAGTGGTGGCTGAATAGGATAGTTTGTACATTAACAAATTTGAAAATTTACCTCCTATGCTGCAGCTTTCCTTGTTTAAAAATGTATGTAATCCAGCAAAATCGGGGGAAAAAATAAACCCAAAAGGAAGATGAATTCAGTATAGAACAACCAGTCTAGATTTGTAACTTCCAGTGATTGTGTGATTGAGAGCTTTAAAAAAACTTGAAGCACATTACCATGTATTCAGCACAGTTAGAAGGGAGGAGGGAAGATTGAGAAGGAAGAAGGACATCAAACTCCAGAGGAGGAGAAAGCTCTGTTGACACAAACATAAAGCAGACTATATTGGGGCAGATTTTTAAACTACCATTGGTGTATGACAGGGAAGAAGAATCCACTTGGATTTGATAGTACGAATACAAATTAGTAGAATATTTTGTTGAGTGATTTTACTTTGTAATTTTTTGTTCCATAGTCCCTATTTTCTTCAAGGAGCATGAATTAATCCTAAAGGAGTGGTTAGGACAAAGGGGTATTATTTTTTCATGAAAATGGGACATTATGTTTTAATTCCACTAGAGGGAGAAACTATTTCATGTAATTGTACTTTGGTGTTCTATATAGAACCAGTCAAGAATGGAAAAGTTTAATCTCTTTCCAGTGATGAGAGATTTTTGTTGTTGTTTGTTTGCATCATTGCTTAAATTTCAGTGTCAGTTTTTAGTATTAAAACCATTATATGAATAGTAAGAAGAGGCATTCTGAAATTTCTTTTTCCCTTTTGCTGTAAATATTTGGTTGGCTTTAACATTAAAGAATCAGAAGTTACTACTGGGCTCAGTGATACACACCTATAATCCCAGCTACTTGGGAGACTGAGACTGGATAATAGCAAGTTTCAGACAAACCTTAGTAACTTAGTAAGACCCTGTCTCAGAAAAAAAAAAGAAACAAACAAAGAATTTGAAGTTTTTAGAGCATTTACTTATTTTCAAACATGTTCTGAGTATAAAAGTATATACTTATTAAGGAAAAATTTGAGTATAATGAAAAATTTAATTTAAAGGAAAACCATTTATGCGTGGTTTTATGAATTTTATTTTATTTTTGTACTGGGGATTGAATCCAAAGGTGCTTTACCACTGAGTCACATCTCCAAGTCCTTTTTAATTAAAATTTTTAAAAATATGTTTTTGCAATTGTAGATAGACACAACACCTCCATTTATTTTTATGTGATGCCGAGGATTGAACCCAGCGCTTCACACGTACTAGGCAGGCACTGTATACCACTGAGCCCCAGCCCCCAATTTTTTAAATTTTGAGACAGGATCTTGCTAAATTGTTCTGGATGGCCTTGAATTTGTAATCTGGGATTACATAACAAAA